TGTGAGGAGGACTGCGGGGAGGGAGACGCTACCTGACGCGCGACCGAGGGTAGAGGGGTAACGTGGGACACACCAGACGGGGCAGGACCAGGGGGGGGCGGGGGTACCGGAGGAGCGGGAGCAGGAGGAGGAGAGGGTGCGAGGAAAAGAGGGGGAGGGGGTACCGGGAGACCTCGACAGGGGTACCGGGTGTAGTAGGACACGGACTCGTCAAACTGGACGTCACGGGAGTCTAGGAACTGGTGGAGGGGAGGGTGGTAAAAGGACCAGTCGGCAGAGTCCACTGGGAAACCAAGGAAGACACAGGGGACGGCGCGTGCCGAGAGCTTGTCCGCGAAGGTGTCGCGAACAAGCGCAAGGCAGCCCCAGACTCGAAAGGCCGACCCGACACCAGGGGAACCAGTCCAAAGACTGGTCGGTGAAGCCTCGGGCCGTGAGACACGCGGCTGGAGGTTCAGCTGGTGTGCGGCGTAGCGAACCGCGTGGGGCCACAGAAAATGGGGCGCACGGGCATGGATCATGGACGTGCGGGCGATGTCCATGACCAAGCCTATGCGGCGCTCAGCAACCCCATTCTGCTGTGGGGACTCTGGCAGCGTCCAGGACTGGGTGATGCCCTGTTCGCCGCAGAATCCGCCGAGAATGCCGGAGCGAAACTCGCCCCCACGGTCGGAGTGGAGACAACTGACTCGAGGACCACGAGTGCCCTCAGTGGCTAGAAGCCACCTGATCAGCGTAGCAGTCACCTCGGACTTCTTCGCAAGAGGGAACACTGTGGTGTACCTGGAGAAGTCGTCGACGACCACCAGAAAGTAACGCTCCCTCCCAGTCCCCTGCGTCGGGGCAGGGCCCCAGACGTCCAAGCGGAGAGTCTCGAAGGGAGCGGTGGCCGGACGAAGGGAGGAGGAGTGGGGAGTGGCGCGTAAGCAACCGGCGACGCACGGAGAGCAAGGAGGGGCAAGCGAGAGAGGGAGCGACGGGAAGGTGCGTGGGAGACCTGAGACAAGTCCCTGACTGAGCATGCCACGGGGGCGAGGGATCGACGAGTGGCCAAGGCGGTGGTGCCACAGGACGGTGCGGTGGGTGAGAGAGCGACAGGAGCAAGACGCAGCGACTGGACTGGACACAGCGACCGGACCCGACACTACTACCTGGCTAGACACAGCAACTGGACTGGGGACCTGGGCCGGAGGGGACGCAACGACCTGAGGGGAGGACGCGACCGGGGAGCGCTCGGTGTGGAGAACGTAGAGACCGGAGCGGGGCTCCCTGGTGAACGTGGCCAGAACAGCACCTGTGGTAGCGTCTGTACAGACTGCAATCCGCCCACCCCCCACGAAGGTAACCGTGATCCCCCTGTCCTGGAGGTATCCAACACCCACCAAGTTCCGAGTGAACGAGGGGATGTGGAGGCCGCGCAGGACACCAGAGGGGACCACAGGGCACGGGAGGGTGGTGGAGCTACGCGCAACGGCTGGTCCAGAGGTAGGATCAGCCAGAGCCACTGACACAGGAGTGAGGAGTGGCGTAAGGGTCGTGTGGTCTTGGAAGAAGCACTGAGACGCGCCCGAGTCCAGCGTGAACGACAGAGAGGCCTCAGCCGGAGGGTCACCTGACCCAGTTGCTACACAAGCACCTAGAGCAGCAACACAAGCACCTAAGCTAGACAGGCACAAGGCTACACTAGCAGGAGGCAAGCAGGCTAAACTACGAACACGTGAGCACACAGATCCCTCAGCACTAAAGTCAGCATCAACATACAAAGCATGCTGACGCGCATCGTCCATGGACAAATCAAAGACATCAATCTTACGGGTTAACAGACGAGACCAGCGAGGCGTGACCGCCAGGGGGCCCCAACGAGCCCGGTAGAGGTCGTCGAGGCGGCGGAAGCACCGCGCGGCAGGGTGGTCGTCCCGACCACAGAGACAGGGGCTGCCCGGCCCGGTGAGGCACCAGTGGGTGCAGGGGCCAGCGTCACGGCGAGGGGGGCGAGGGGCCCAGCTGGAAGAGCTGCTGCTGCGGCCGGTGCTCCCGGGGCCTCCCGGACCCCACTGCGGCGGGGGACCCCAGTGCTGCTGCGGACCCCACTGCAGCGGGGGCCCCCACTGCTGGAACTGCTGCGGTGCCTACTGCTGCTGCTGCTGTCCCTGCTGCTGCTGGTGCTGCTGTGGCTGCTGCTGCTGGGGGGCAGCACCCCCACCGGTCGGGCCACCACCTGTGGGTGGACCTGTCTGTCTTGCGCCTCCTCCAAGGCCCCCTCCCCCTGGTGCACCACCGCCGCCGCCGCCGCCGCCGCCTCCACCACCACCGCCGCTCCCACCTCCTCCGCCCCCTACACCGCCACCTCCTCCGCCCCCACCTCCCCCCTTCCCGCCCTTCTTGCCACTCTTGCCCCGTTTCTGCCAGTCTGCGGCAGAAATGGCAGCGGTGTCCTCAGAGACTGACACAGCAGCAGAAGCGCGGGTAGCGGTGAAAGTGGGAAGCTGAGGGGCGGCACACCCCGCAAAGAGACGGGGGGCCACCGCATCAGTGGCGGAGGCAACGGTGAGGAGCCTGCTCTCGATGGTCCCGAGAGCAGTCTGAAGGAGGTCTATAGAGAGTTCAGTGGGGTGCTTCTGAAGAAGCGCGTCGCGGGCAGTGGCAAGGCGGTCAGGGAGGCGGGTGACTAACCAGTGCACAGTGAGCCACATGGGGGGGGGAGCAACAAGGAGCTGTGCGTCGGTACAGGCCGAACGAAAACCGGCGTCAAGCGAGCGGAGATGAGTCACTAGGTCGGAAACAGTCGCAAACGAGCCTAGGTCGGGAAACACGAACGGCATGAGGAGGCGACTGAGGGAGGCGGAGGAGGGGGTGGAATAGCGAGCCACAATAGCATCCCAAACCCCCTTGGCTGTCTCCACCTGGTCAAAGTGAGCGGCCTCAGTCCGGGGGAGAAGCTCTGATAGCGTGAGGGCGGCGGCCGCGTCACGAGAGAGCCACACGTCCCGAGCCAGGACCCGACGGTCGTAGTCCGCCTGGGCCATAGGAGTCGGCTCCGGGGCGGTCGACAGGGCGGCGGGGGACGGGGGTGCCGCGAGAGCACCCAACGCGTGGGCCCACAGAGTGGCGCCGTCCTGACGCTGGCTGGTGAGGAAACGTGTGGTCTGGCGCTGCCAGGTACCGAACTCGATCGGGCGTCCCTCAGCATCGAAAAGGAGGCGACGGGCCTCCATAGCGGAGCCCATGCTAGAGGCGACTGGAGCACGGCGGAGGCGGAGCTAAGAACGAGGAGGAAAACTACGGAGGGCTAGGGACGCCAGCGGGGAAAACGACGAGAGACAGTCGGCGAGAAAATAGTCGTGGGGCGGGGCTCTAACCGAACCTAGGTGGCGCTACCGGAGGGAAGAGCGGCTGCCAGCCGCTGAGCCGGGAGCCAAGTGCAGTAGGAATGGCGTGGGACCGGTGCACAGGTGAAGGGGAGAGAGATGCAGTAAGCGCACAGAGTGATGCGGTAAGTGTACGCAGGTGTGCGGTAAGCGCACTCAGGTGTGCGGTAAGCGCACTCAGGTGTGCGGTAAGGGCACGCAGGTGTGCGGGAAGCGCACGCAGGTGTGCGGGAAGCGCACACAGAGTGATGCGGTAAGTGCACGCAGGTGTGCGGTAAGGGCACGCAGGTGTGCGGGAAGCGCACGCAGGTGTGCGGGAAGCGCACACAGAGTGATGCGGTAAGTGCACGCAGGTGTGCGGTAAGCGCACGCAGGTGTGCGGTAAGTGCACGCAGGTGTGCGGTAGGCGCACACTGGTGTGCGGGAAGCGATGACGGAGGAGGGCGCGCGACAGGCGGAGGGGAGGGCACGCGACGGTCTAAGGAGGGCGCGCGACGGTTGAGGAGGGCGCGCGACGGTGGGGGAGGGCGCGCGGCGGTCTAAGGAGGGCGCACGACGGTTTTGGAGGGCGTGCAACGGTGGGGGAGGGCGCGCGGAGGTCTAAGGAGGGCGCGCGACAGGCTGGACAGCGCGGGAGGGCGCGGGCTAGGCGCGAGGAGGGCGCGGAGGGCGCGGAGGGCGCGGAGGGCGCGGAGGGCGCGAGAGCACGGAGGGCGCGTAGGGCGCGGAGGCTAGCTAAAAACGAACGAGGATCTAACCTACTCGTGATACCATCTCAGAATAGGAATGCAACGGAATAATGAAACTAGAAAGTGTGGAAGTACAAATATGCAACCCTAACAACTGTACTCCCTATTGTGCTATTCACTGTAGCCTACAAGCATAGAATTACATTTGACAGTTATGTTGTACAGCAATGATGTACAACGCAGCTTGTTTTCGTGTCAATATTGCGTCTGGTTCTGCCGTGGAAAGCCCTATCACATGGGGGCAAGGAAGTTCATCATTACGCACATGGGGGGGGTTACTCACAGAAAATTTCTGAGAAACTTTGCCTTCAGAAAGTGTCATTCAGGGACCACAGGTTTTGTACCCTGAAATGTGAGGGTTCGACAGCACACAACTTTGAGCATGTACACAATTTATCATGTAGTCATCGAGTCCTCTGAATGGATCAATTTTCAGAATTGAGATGATTTGAAAAGAAAAACAGTTTCTTGTGGGTGGCCTGTCTACCGTAAAAAATCAGCATAAAATTAGTTAAAGATTTATCTTTGTGACGGAAACGAAGGCTGAAAATGTTAAAACATAAAAAGGATTGACACCCTACCACATCCCATGGTGTGGGTTACCCATCCATCCAGACTCAAATTCCATGGGTTTCTAAAGAAGATACCATTGGAATATAGGTAACAACAGATTCCCTTCAACATCAATATAGGCCTACTGCCATGGCTCTTCCTCTTCCTTCCTCCGTTCCCTCCTCTTGTGACTGTCTTTGACACACCTGCCATCAAATCAGCCGCCCCTTTGAGCGTTCCTTCTTCTACCTTCTCTCCGGAATCTTGGGCCAAAACTCACACCCCCTTCCCCTCCTCCAGCATTGAGGTGAGTTTTGAGGCGCCTCAAAACTCACCTCATCTTGGGCCATCGTAATGCCCCCCTCCCCGCACTCACACCCCCTTCCACTCCTCCCCCCATTCGCCCCTCCTCCCCTCCTTCCTCTCGCCCCCTCTGCCTCCTCACCTGAACCCCATTTCCTGCCCACATTTCTTCCCACCCTCTTCTCCAATCCTTTCTCTCTCATTCACATACTTTCATCAAACTTCTGCTTTCTTCCCCCCCCCCTTCCCTCCTCTTACTGTTCCGCCCCTGTGCTTTTCTTTTGCTTCTTTCTCTTCTTCCCGTCCTCCTGATCCTCACCTTTCTTCTCCTTCTTCAGCTTCTTTTTCCCTCCCATTTGCTCCTCCGCCTGCTCACTCTGCTTCTCCTTCTCCTCCTCCCTCTCCTCCCGCTCCTCCTTCCCCTGCTTCCCTTCTGCTTCCCCAACCAGCTTCCTCTTACCCTTCCCTCCCTTCCCCTTCTTCCCTCCCTTCCCCCCTCTCTTCCCTCCATCCCCACCCATCCCCTCTCCCTCCTCCGCTTCCTCCTCCCCACCCTCTTCCTCACCCGCAGTCCCCTTCCCTCCCTTCACACGGCCCATGACCACACTCACTCCCTCTCGCAAACTCCCCGCCCTCCCCTCCCTCACTGCCTCCACAGCCGCCACCAGCCGCTGCAACTGAGAAATCACCTGCCCCGTCCTCCCCTTCCCCTTCACCCGTTGCACCGACGCAGGATCGGCCGAAGCTGCCTTCAGCCCCTCAACGTCCAAGGCCTGGAGGAGCTTCGGGACGCCCGAGCCTTCACTCCCAACCGTCTCACTGCCGTTTGGAACCTTCTTAGAAGATTCTTCGTCTGCCTTGAGAGCAGCTGCTGCTAAGAACTCGTCTGCATGGCCTACAGAACGCAGCAGAGCACAGCAGAAATCCAAACCCAACTCCCACCGCTCTAACTTCCCATACTCATGCTTTAGGGTTTCAATTAGCAGATTCCCCACCACCCCCTTTTCCACCTGCCCGGATAGCACCTCGGCAGCCCCCTCGGGCAGCGGAAAACGGTTCAGGAACGGCGTGACGAGTTTCATCGCAGCTGCCCGGACGAACTCCGACCTGCCCGAGCCGCACTTACTGAAAAAGTACGGAATGAGGGCGGAAAACATTCCGGGGAAGCGAGCGAGAGTGTCGCGGATGAAGGTCAAGGGGAGGGGGCAATCCCGAGAATCAAGGATTCGGGAAATGGCCGAAGAAAAGGCGTCTTGGACAGCTAGGTCGATCAAAGATGCCTTAAACGCGTTGCCCTGCTTCCCCTGCTGCTTCTTCCCCCGCTGCTGCTGCTGCTGAGGCTTGGAGTTTTTCTCTTGATCATGCTTGAAATTGGCTTCCCGCTGGGACTTGGCTAAGAGCCGCGCCTGGATGACGTGGCAGAGCCACATGGCGCAATCTCCCGCGACGAGCGCCAGGTGGCGGATGGAGGTTCGCCGGGTGGCCTCTGCAAAGCAATCCTGCATGGCAGCCCGGGCGGCTTGCAGAACTGCCTCGTCCTCCCTCTCCTGCTGCTGCTCCTGCTGCCTCTCTGTTGCTATCCTCCTCATCTCCTCCTCTCCCTCCTCTTCCTCCTCCTCCTCACCAGCAGCAGCACCTGCCTTTCCTCCTTTCCCCTTCCCTCCTCCCGCCTTCTCCCCTCCCTTCCCTCCTCCTCCCCCCACAACCACCACAGCCCCAACCACCCGCCTCTCAAGCATCCTCTCAACCCTCACCAGCACCGCATCATGCCCCGTGCCCCCTCTCCCCTCGCCGCCTCCCCCGCCCTTCCCGCCCTTCAAGCTCCCCTTCGCCGCATAGTTCCCCGCTGCCGCCTTCAGCAGCCGCGGCACCACCGCAAGCACCAGCGGATCGCACGAAAGCGGCTTCCGACCTTCTAACAAATGAGGCTCTTCTAACGAGAGGGAGTGTGCGTGGGAGTAGGCACTGGGAGCGTGTGCAAGCCACGTGTCAAGGAGGGAGAGAGCGCGCAGGCGAAAGTGCTCCCCTAGCAAGATGCTCTGCCGGCGTTTGCGCCGAGTCTCCGCCTCCACTTTCTGACGAACGATGTCGGCCAGATGCTGATCAATACGGAACATGGCCGCATCGTCCATCAACTCTTCATTGTCGCTGTCGCTGATGCTGCCGCTGCCGTTTGCGTTGATGCTTGCGTTTTCATTGGCTTCTTTGATAGCTTTTCTTAATGCGACGTCCTCCTCGTCTTCCTCCTCCTCATCCTCCTCTTCCTCCTCCTTTTCTCTGCCTTCTTCGCCTTCAGACCCTTCCTCTCCACTTCCCCCCTCTTCCTCTCCCTCCTCCTCTTCCTCATCCTCCTCTTCCTCCCCCTCCAACACCTCCTCTCTCTTCTTGCTCCTAGGATTCGTTACAACCACCTCCATTATAGTCTCAAGCGCCTCGGCAGTCAAGTCGTTGCAAAAGGCGCTAAAGACACCCTCCGCCGCCCCTCTCAGGAGAGACGATTCCTGCGCCAGTAAGGACAAAACCACGTCCACCAATGACAGCATCACATCCTTTGTCTTTTCCTCCTCTTCCTCCTCCTCCTCCACCTCCTCCTCCTCTTCTTCCTCACTCTCCTCCTCACCGTCTACCGCCCTCTTTCCTCCTCTCCCCTTCCCTCCCCTGCTCCCATTTGCTCCAACCTTCCCTCCCTTCGGAATCACCCAACCAGACGCCGCCAGCTGGCGTGCAATGGCAGTGACGTCAGCAGCAGCTTCCAGAAGAACATCCACGTCACCACCCCCAGCAACAGCACCAGCAGCACCAGCAGCGGCAGCAGCAGCAGCAGGAGCACCCTCTTCCTTCTCCTCCTCCTCCTCATCCCCACCCCCATCAGCCTCGTCCTTACCTGCTTTTCGAGCTCTCCCACCCGCACCAGCCTCGGCAACAGCCTCGACGGCAGCTTCGGCAGCAGCTTCGGCAGAGGTTTGGATGCGGATGCAGAGCAGGAGCGTCCCTAGCAGCACCCCAACAGCCTTCCTCCGAGCGTCCAGCAGAGGAGAAGCAAAAGCAGGGACTGGCAGGGTCGCTTGAGTGACGCTTTCAGTCCCCTCCTCTGTCGCTTGAGCAGCAACAAGCTTGAGTGTCTCTTTTAGCCCTACTGCAACTTCCTCCACATCCTCCCCTTCTTCCTCCTCCTCCTCTTTCTCACTCTCCTCCTCTTCCTCATCACTCCCCTTCTCCTCTTTCACATCAACGTCCATCTTTTTGCTGTCAACACCTGCTCCCCTCCTCCCTTCCATCCACCCTTCTGCCTCCCATACTAGCTGCTCCACCACCCACAACCCTGCTCCCTTTACACTCATACCCATCACACTCACACTCGTTACAGGAACGCCTTTAGTCCCCTTCCCTTCCTTCCCTCCCTCCCCCTCTCTGCCCTCTCTCCCCGCCCCCAAAGCCCTCTCCACCTCCCTCCCCTCAGGGCTCTTAACGAAATAGTCCAGCTGCTTGAAAAGAGCTTCTAACGAGGATAAGAACCGGGACCTGCAAGCAGCCAGCACACCACCAGAGACGGCCGGGGAGAACGAGAGAGGCCGTGCCTCTGACTCTTCCTCCTGCTGCTGCTGCTTCTGCTTTCCCTCTTTGCTCCCCTTCTTTCCTTTCTTTCCCTTTTTAGGAGTATCCTCCTCCCCTCCTCCTGCCACCTTCCCACAGTTTTCAGGCTGAAACCCTTCCCCCTTCAGAACGACTCTCATTATGAACCCGAGAATCACCTTCATTAAAGTCACATGCTCCCACACTCCCTTCACTGCCTCCTCTGCTTCCCTCCTCCTCCTCTCCTCCTCCTCTCTCACCTCCACTTCCCCCCCTTCCTTCTTCCCCTCCTCTTCTCCCGCTCCATCCGCCGTTATAGCATCCGCCTTCAAAACACTCTTCTTCTGAAGCTGCTTAAGCGTTTTTCTTAAGCTAAGCGCGGGTTTGGGAACTGGTTTAGCCACCAGCCTGCACATTTGATCCAAAGCCCAAAACCTCCATTTCTCCGCCTCCGCCTCTCTGTCCCACTCCTTCTCCCCTCCTCCTTTCCCCTCCCCAACCCCACTCCCCCCCTTCCCTTCCTTCCCCTTCTTCCCTTCCTTCCCTCCTCTCCCTCCCCTCCCGTCCCCGCCTCTCCCCTTCTCCACCTCCTCGCCCCCTCCCGCAAACTCCCCTGGGCGGGCAAACACAGCTTGCAGAAACCCATAATACGCCCTCTCCCCTTCAACCCCATGAATCCCCGATGCAAGCATGCGGACAGCGTTGCTGCGTGTGACTGTATCGAATTGCCCTTTAGAGTGCTGCTGCAGGGTGGTGAGAATGGCGAGCCTTGCTGCTGCTGACTCCATTTCTGCTGCTGCTGTTGCCGCTGCTCCTGGTGCTGCGGGTGGTGCTGCTGCTAGTGCTGGTTTCGACGCCTTTATTTTCCCCTCCTTTCCTCCCGCCTCCTTCCCTTCCTTCCCCTGCTTGCCTCCTCCCTCCGCTTCCCCGTCACCCCCCTCCTCCCCTTCCCCTTCCCCTTCCCCCTCCCCTTCCCCCGCTTCCCCCAGTGTGGGCCATCGCTGAATCAGCGCGACGCAGCGCTGACTCAGCGGGAACAGGTGCGCCCTGCTCCCCGCGCCCAGCGCGTCCATTAGGCAGCGCGTGATTGGTCGAGAGAGGATCACGTGGGCCGTGGTGGTGGGAGGGAGGCGCGGGATTAGGAGGAGCAGGAGATTAATAGCCAAATACCTCCTTTCGTGAGAGGAAGGGATTAATCCCTTGTCTACTATTATAGACCAGAAAGTTGAAAGGGCTGAGGAGGGGAGGCGTGAGGAGGAGGAAGAGGAGGATGATTTGGAGAAAGCGGGGGAGAGAAATGGGAGGGACGCGAGTGGGGAAGAGGAGGAGGAGGAGGGGGGAGAGAGAGAGGGGAGGGGGAGTGAGAAGAGACGGTCAAGAAGCAAGGCCCACACTGCATGCAGGCGTGGGTGCGAGGAGGAACTATTTTGCAGCACGGGCAGCAGCTTCTCCAGATGGGCAGCGCTGAAAAAATCTTCTGCCCGGCCCGACTGCGGCAGCAGCGGGCAGAGTCCCAGCAGTGTGCGCAGAAACGTGTTTCCGCTGCCCGTCTCCGCCCCTGCTCCAGCAGCATTTTTCCGCCCTTTGGCCCCTTTTTTCCCCGATTTTTTTCCTGCTCCTCTTTTTCCTTCCTCTCCACCGTCCTCTCCTCCCTCCCCTCCCCCTACCCCTGCTTCCCCCAGCTGCCACAGCTTGAGCGCGAGGTGCAGGGCCTCGGGAGAAGAATCGGAGGGGTCTTGAGAGAGAAAGGCGGAGATGGGTGGCAGGGCGAGTATGCGCGGGAGGGAGGAGGCCGGAAGCTGCAGACACAAAAGGGAACGGGAAGGAGAAGGAATGAGAAGGAAGAAGGATCACAGCTTGAGCGCGAGGTGCAGGGCCTCGGGGGAAGACTCGGAGGGGTCTTGAGAGAGAAAGGCGGAGATGGGTGGCAGGGCGAGTATGCGCGGGAGGGAGGAGGCCGGAAGCTGCAGACACAAAAGGGAACGGGAAGGAGAAGGAATGAGAAGGAAGAAGGATCATAGCTTGAGCGCGAGGTGCAGGGCCTCGGGGGAAGACTCGGAGGGGTCTTGAGAGAGAAAGGCGGAGATGGGTGGCAGGGCGAGTATGCGCGGGAGGGAGGAGGCCGGAAGCTGCAGACACAAAAGGGAACGGGAAGGAGAAGGAATGAGAAGGAAGAAGGATCACAGCTTGAGCGCGAGGTGCAGGGCCTCGGGGGAAGACTCGGAGGGGTCTTGAGAGAGAAAGGCGGAGATGGGTGGCAGGGCGAGTATGCGCGGGAGGGAGGAGGCCGGAAGCTGCAGACACAAAAGGGAACGGGAAGGAGAAGGAATGAGAAGGAAGAAGGATCACAGCTTGAGCGCGAGGTGCAGGGCCTCGGGGGAAGACTCGGAGGGGTCTTGAGAGAGAAAGGCGGAGATGGGTGGCAGGGCGAGTATGCGCGGGAGGGAGGAGGAGGGGAGCTGCGCACACAGAGGGGAAAAGGTGAGGGGACGGGAAGGGGATGGGAAGGGGATGGGAAGGGGATGGGAAGGGGACGGGAAGGGGACGGGAAGAGGGGGGAGTAGGTTAGGGGGAATGGGACGAAGAAAAGGACAGCAGGCTCGGGCAAGAAACGACCGATGCTCTCCGACCCTCAAAACCACCTAACCTCCCATGGTAACCGCCCTCTGGATACAGCACAAACTCGATATAGTTACCTGTGATACGAGAGCCACCACCAGCACACTTGCAGGCTCGGCAAACCGATGCAGTATCACCTACCTACCCTTGCACACACTTCTCAATCAATCACCTCTTATACAGACACTCAATATAGTTATTTGCTCGCTATAGTCACCGGCTCGTTATAGTCACCTGCTCGTTATAGTACCCTGCTCGTTTTAGTCACATGCTCGTTATAGTCACATGCTCGTTATAGTCACATGCTCGTTATAGTACCCTGCTCGTTATAATACCCTGCTCGTTATAGTAACCTGCTCGTTATAGTCACCTGCTCGTTATAGTCACCTGCTCGTTATAGTCACCTTCTCGTTATAGTCACCTTCTCGTTATAGTCACCTTCTCGTTATAGTCACCTGCTCGTTATAGTCACCTTCTCGTTATAGTCATCTTCTCGTTAGAGTCACCTGCTCGTTATAGTCACCTCCTCGTTATAGTCACCTGCTCGTTATAGTCACATTCTCGTTATAGTCACCTGCTCGTTATAGTCACCTATTCGTTATAGTCAACTGCTCGTTATAGTCACCTCCTCGTTATAGTCACATTCTCGTTATAGTCATCTTCTCGTTATAGTCACCTGCTCGTTATAGTCACCTTCTCGTTATAGTCACCTGCTCGTTATAGTCACCTGCTCGTTATAGTCACCTGCTCGTTACAGTCACCTGCTCGTTATAGTCACCAGCTCGTTATTCACCTTCTCGTTATAGTCACCTGCTCGTTATAGTCACCTGCTCGTTACAGTCACCTGCTCGTAGAAGACACCTGCTCATTATAGTCACCTGCTCGTTATAGTCACCTGCGATATGGAGCCACCAGCAGCATTGTTGCAGGCTCGGCAAGAAACGACCGTTGCTCTCCCATCCTCACCAGCCAAGAAACCACCTTCCCTGGTAACCACCCTCATACACCACAGAACAAACTCGAGAGAGTAACGCTCGTTACAGTCACCTGCGATACGAGAGCCACCAGCAGAACGGTCGCAGGCTTGGCAAGAAACGATCGTTGCTCTCCAACCCTCAGCAGCTGAGATACCACCTCCCCCGTCAACCACCCTCGTTATACACTACATCACAGACTCGATACAGTCACACTCGTTATAATCACCTGCCCGTAGTCACCTGCGATACGAGCGCCACCAGCAGCACGGTTGCAGGCTCGGCGAGAAAAGACCGCTGCTCGCCAATCCTCACGAGTTGAGATACCACCTCCTCCGGTAACCACACTCACCCAAAAGCCCCCCCCCCAAAAAAAGAGGTAACCCTTGTTATACGCTAGCGCACAAACTCGTTATAGTCACCAGCGATATGAGGGCCACCAGCAGCACGGTAGCAGGCTCGGCAAGGAAAGACCGTTGCTCGCCGACCCTCACCAGCTGAGATACGACCTCCCCCAGTAACCACCCTCCAAATACACCAGTATATACTCGATATAGTCACACTCGTTATAGTTACCTGTGATGCGAGAGACACCAATAACACGGTCGCAGGCTCGGCGAGGAAAGACCGCTGCTCGCCGATCCTCACCAGCTGAGATACCACCTCCCCCGGTAACCACCCTCCCCTCCCCACCACCCACCCCACCTCCCCGCCACCTCCCCCTGCTGCTGATGCTGCTGCTGCTGCTGGCTTTTCGGTGGCAGAGGACAGGGAGGAAGGCGAGGCGAGAAGGCCGCTTCGGACGAGAGCACCGAGGGCGAACATGCGACCAAACAGGGCTTCAGAGGCGTCCTGCAGGTGGAGAGTGGGCGCGGGGGAGAAAAAATAGTTAATTATAATTGCTGTTGATGAGAGCACCGGGGACAAACACGCGACCAAAGACCAAACAGACAAACACCGAGAAAGGAGGGCTTCGGAGGTCTTACCCTCCCTCCCTCATGCCTCCCCCCAAATCCCAAAACTCCTCAGCATGGAAAAATCGACGACCCCAGTTCAATTTTTGCGAAAACAAAACCCGAAACCTCCATCCACACCTATGTGATGGAAGCAAGGCAGCGACAGGGGAGCTGGTTCTGATTTGTTTTTTTCTATTTTTTCCCTGGTTTTTTCTCAGGTCTCAGAGACCAGAACAAAGGAACCAGCACCACTGCACTCTATCCACGCACAAAAATTACTCCACTACTTCAACTACTTCTGAGAAATTTCAAAAGTCTCTCCTTTATCATAAACCGTTTTCTGAGGCGCCAAAACAGTATCGCTCATTGTCCCTTCAATTTCCACGACGAATATTCCTTTTCCAAAGCTGTTAAGCGTTTCAATAGGGGGAAAATATCATCAAAGCTCCGGCAACCAAAAAAAAAAAAAAAAAAAAAAAAAAAAAAACAAACGAATATCACTTCACGTTTTCTTCCCTAGACATAGCCTGGCGTAGTGATAAACTCATACCAAAGTGTGAAGTTGTTCACTAGCTCGCACACACGATACAACAGAGAGGTTCAGTGCTCACCTTTCCCCGGGCGTTGTTGGGTAGAGGAATGAGCAGCGGAATAGCAGCCGCGATGGCGGGCAGGTGAGGGTGCAGCGAGGGCAGCGCGCGGAGACAGGCGGCGAGCGCCACTGAGTAGCCCTGCCTTGCGCCCTGGTGGGGGTGGGTGGGGAGATGGGGGCAGTGGTGTACGGGTGAAAGATTTGGGGTTTAACGGGTGCAAAGAAGGCAGCGCGCGGAGACAGACGGCGAGGGCCACCGAGTAGCCTTGTCTTGCGCCCTGGTGGGGGGGTGGGGAGGGGGAGGGGGGGGGGGGGGGGGGGGAGGAGAGGGGGAGGAGGGGGGCAGGGGCAGGGAGGCGAAGAGAGCGGTATAAGCGGAATCAGCGCGCAGAGAGAGGCAGCGAGGGCCACCGAGTAGCCCTGCCTTGCGCCCTGGTGGGGGGAAGGGGGAGAGAAGGGAAAGAGAGAAGTCGGGCTTTAATGGTCAATAGCAGCAGTGATCGCGGGCATGTGAGCGTGCAGAGAGGGCAGCGCGCAGTGGCAAGCGGCTAGGGCCACGGGACGACTCCGCGGAACGAATGCGCGGATGCGCGGAACGACTGCGCGGAGCGACTGCGCGGAGCGACTGCCCGGAACGACCTCGCGGAACGACTTTGCGGAAGGACTTCGCGGAAGGATTCACAAATGATATCACGAGTCAACTTCAAGTCCACCCATAAGCTTACCCCGCGGGACGACTCAAGGCCTCTGATCAGCCGCTTAACGGCGTAGTTAATCTCGTCGCAACACCCCTCCAGCTTCAAAATACTCTTCGTCTCTTCGCCCTCCTCCTCTTCCTCCTCCTCCTGCTCCTCTTCTTCCTCCTCTTCCCCACTCTCCTCTTCGTCCTCTGTCTCCTCCTCACTCGCCTCCTCTTCCTCCTCACTCTCCTCCTCTTCACTCTGCTCATTTTCCTCCTCTTCCGAACTCTCATCTTCTGAACCCTTCTTAAGTCCTGAACCCTTCGTCGACCCATTTCCGTCAGGGTTTTTCACATTCCCCCCGCCTTTCTTCCCCCCACCTTGCGCGTGCAAATACGCCTTCTGCGCCGCCGTTAACTCCGAAACCAGCGCCACCGCCGCCGTTTCTCGCGGCCCGCGTCTCACGGAGGCCAAATGCCAGTAGATCTGCAGCCCCGTCGGCTTCGTCTTCCGCCGCTTCTTCGAAGCTTCCCGGCCGGCTTTCGCGGGCGCCGCTCGCGGCGGCTGCTGCTTCTGCCGCTGCTGCGTCGACGGCACGAGCAGATCTTGCGTCTCCGCGCCGAGATTTGCGGCGGCAACTGCGAAGGAGATCGCGCGGCGGCGGCGGTCGCGGAGGTTGCGCTTCTCGCGCTTCGCCTTTTTGCGCGTCTCGATCTTGTTGAGGCGGCTCGTCGACGCCTTGTGCTTCGCCATAGCGACTGGCTAATAGACGATTCGACAATGACGATTCGACGATGACGGAACGATTCGACTAACTATGAAAGCCAAAAACAAGGAACAGAAATGGAACAAAACTCGATAACGAGCGTTCCGCAACGAAGGGGTTTCGTTTCCCGTGTGGCGGGTAAAAATCTAAAAAGGAGCGGGAAAGGGTTTTGGTAGGCCAGATAAGGATTTGACGCTAGCAGCGGCAATGATGGTGTGTGTGTGGGTGTGTGTTTGGCTTACGGGAAGCTCCCGCAGCGAGGGATAAGGGGCAACGATCCGTTTCAGTAAGATGCGTTACTATCGAAAGCGGTACGAGATTGGCTAGTGCGGTGATGACGGAAAACAAACATTTCCGACAGCATGTGGCATCTGTTTTGTTGGAACGTTCCAAATAATACTCATGCAAATCATAGGGGCGTTTATTACACAACAGTACCCACATTGAGAAACCAGCCTAAATTGATTTGCCTAATAAGTCTCAAATAGTTGGCAAACTTATGCACCTTATATTGTAAAGATGGGAAGTTCTTCACAACCCAAAACCCTACATGTGCAAGCTAAACGCCTGAAATCTCGTATCTGAATTTGATTAATCAACTTATTTTCCAAATACCCACTTTCTCTTGTATTGTCCACCTGCTTTTGTGTTGATCATGACCAAAACCTGATGGATCAGAGAGAGAATGCACATGGGGGGGTGCACATGCAGATAAAGAGTTGGAACCAACGTTAATACGTTATACTGTAGCATGCTTTGCTTGCATATATGTGTTTGTCAGAAGAGGAGAGAGGGAATGGCGAAATGGGGTGAATTGAGACCAGCAAGCGGTTAAAAGCGTAAACAAAAGGGTTGTATGGGATGGGCAGAAAAGCTGCTCCACCCTCATCCCATGACCACACAATCTTACCTTCTCCGCAGCCCACCTGTCCGTTACTGACACGGCATCATGACTATTACCACACAATCCTACCTTCTCCGGAAAAAAAAAACCCCACCAATCAATTACTTTCCTTGCAGCCATCGAACCCCTGAGAGGAAGGCTGCGAGTTACTCCTCCCATACTCCATCCCTCTGATACTTATATTCCATCCCTCTTATATTCCAACCCTCTTATACTCCAACCCTCTTATACTCCAACCCTCTTATACTCCAACCATCTTTTACTCCAACCCTCTTATACTCCAACCCTCTCCACCGCTCCCACCCCAGCAACACCGCACGTGCTTCTGACCACACAACCTACAGACCGGCGACTCACCTTGCAGCCAGCAAGCTCCTGGGAGGAAGGAAGCGATTCCTCCCGCATGCTAATCCACCTGTCAACCCTCCGCACCCCTCCCAACCCCTCATCACCCTGCTGATCTCGCATAAACAAACAAGAGCAGGAAACCTCACCTTGCAGCCAGCAAGCTCTTGAGATGAGGGAAGCGATTCCTCCCGCACGCCAATCCACCTGTCAACCCTCCGCACCCCTCCCAACCCCTCCACAGCCGCGCCCACGCACGCCTTCCCTCCCCGCCAAAACACCGCGTTCAGAAAATCGATAAGCAGCAGCCGGCGTACAGTGATGTTCGCTACAGGCTTGATGCTTATATCGAAGAAGCATGAGGAGGGGCTCCAAGAGAGTGTGACTATAGCGGAGAGGAGGGAACCAATGAGACAGGAGGAGGGGTCGGATTGGAAAATATCTTCGGTTGGAGGTGTAGAAATGTTGGTGCTTGTAGCGTGCGATATGCCCTTGCTTATAAGGCGTACAAGAGCATTGGAGCGGGAGGGAGGGACAATCTGAGGGTGGGAGGAAGAAGGAATGGTACACGCATGGAAGGACATACACATATGGGTTGAGGTTTATTACTTGTAAGAAACAGTGCACATAAGTGAGCAGGAAGCAGGCACATATGGATTTTTTACACTTGTGGTTCACAACGATGGCAGTTTAGTAAAAAATCAGCTCTTAGGATTACGATTAAGTGTTCGAACACAAAATAAGAACACTGTGTGGAACAAGGCTGGAAAGGGAAGAAGGCTGAAGAGTTGAAGGGACACACGTAATATGAGATGCAAACGCGTATTGCATTCTCTTTCACACCCTCCCCATTCACAAGTTGTACACGTTACACTCCCTTCCCTGATACACGTTATAAGCTCTTCTCACCTGTTCCAGCAGCACTGTACACTTCTCGTGCACTCCAGCCAGAATATCCGCCCTTGAAACCCGTCCCGTTTTAAGCAGCATCTCTAGCTGCTTGATAGCCTTCTCACACTGTTCCCCGCTCCCTCCGCTAAAACCGCTTCCACTGCTGCTGCTGCCGCTGACTGTTACAGTGCCACGTGTCAGCCCCTGCATGGCTGATCTGACTGCCATAAGACCAGTGGGGGCAGCATCAGGATAAACAGCAACCATGGGAATTCCCCTTCCCTGTCCCCCTGCTACAGCCGCTCCCCACGCTCCCACTCCCCCTCCCCCCATTCCTCCTCCCCCAATTCCCCCTCCCCCTCCTCCCCCTCCCCCTCCCCCTCCCCCTGGCCTTCTAAACGGCAGGGGGGCAGCGGGCATGGCACCAGGCATGGGGGGAACGAGCTGGATGGGGTGAGGGGCGGATGGGGCAAGGGCTAACGCAAGGCGACTGGGGGGGTAATTATCAGCAGCTGCTGGTGCTGCTGCTGCTGCTGCTGCTGCTGCTGCTGCCACTGATGGCGGTGGTGGGATGTAGGATACAAGGGCCTGTAGAAAAGGCATTATGAGGGGAAAAGAGAAGTGAGGGAAGCGGGAAGTGGTTGCGTGTTAGACAAATACCAAGCGAATGAGCTAGGAAATTTGATATTCTAAGGTGGTAGGTAATAAATGAGAATTGATGGTAGAATACATATTCTATCCAAAGTAATGGTAGGAGGCATCTACCTTTTTCTTACGTTATAAATGTGTAGTGAGATTGCCACTGATCTGTGAACAACCTTGAATGCCTCTTATCAGATTAAGAGATTATAATGAGCATGTGTCTGTTTCTGAATATGTATATGTACTCTAGAATAAAACAGCTCACCTGACTGTAGTGAGACACGTTCGGCCTTTCAAACGGATTAGCAGCCATCGCTTTCATCGGCCCTACTCCCCCATTCCCGCCCATTCCGCCCGCCCTTCCTCCGCCCAGCCCTCCTCCGGCCGCTCCCCCGTTCCGCGCGCCCTCTACCCCGCCCACGCTCCCCGCAACAGACGCGGCGCGCACAAGAGAACCGCCGGCGCTGGCGGTGCGACCGGAAATGCTCGAAGCGGATTGGACAACAGGAGGCGGCATGGACCCGACGCGGCTGACCTGCGGCCCCACCACTTGCACCGCGGCGAACGGCGCCGGTTGCGGCGCAGGTTGCGGCGCCGGTTGCGGCGAAAAGAGCGGCGCGGCAAACGCGGCCTTGTACAAGTTTGGAACCCTCGGTTCTGGCCGAACGGACGGCTGCGATGAGCTGGTGAGAATGTACGGTCGCGATGAGGGCTGCTGCGAGAAGGAACTGGAGCGAGTCTCCCCGCTAAGAGCTAACCCGTTAATCGCGCTAGTCGCCGCGCTATTGACGGGCTGGGAAGACGCGTGGAGCGACTGCGATCGCTGGACGGGTGGCGCGACGTCACGAACAATGTGCGCGGCTGCAGCGGAGGCGGAGGTGGAGGCGGAAGCGGAGGCGAAAGCGGAGGCGGAAGCGGAGGCTGAAATCGGGGGGGGATTCATCCGCTGCTGCGCTTGGGCGCGCGCATCCGCAGGTGCGCTCTCCTCGTGATTGACGGTCAGGATCTCATGCGGAGGCGGCGCGGATATCACATCTTTGGAGACATCTAATGGGGCCGGCGGCGCGCGATAGCAGGAGCTCACCACCGGGTTCTTAACAACGTCCTTAGCGACGTCGAGAATGGGAGGCGGTTTTTGAGTCGACTCAAAATTCGGCGGCGCGCGGTAGCAGGAGCTTACCGCCGGGTGGAAAACGGCTTGCGGTACGAGCGGGTCCTTTATTACGTCCTTAGAGACGTCGAGCGTGGAAGGCGGCGGCCGGTACGCAGCACGAGACGCGGGCGCTTGTAGATGATTGGCTGTCGCCACATGCGGAACCGTGTTTTCAGGAACGGCGGAAGAGTGAGGAGGAGCAGGAGCAGCTAAAGGAGCGGAAGGAGCGCAAGCAGCGGGAGGAGCAGGAATAGCTGCAACAGGGGTAGCACGAGCAGCAGTGGCAGTAACGGGAAGGGCACGTGCGGCGCCAGGACCAGTGCCAGCAGTAGCAGTAGCGGTAGGAGCCGAAGGAGCGGAAGCAGCGGGAGGAGCAGGAAGAGCCGCAACAGGAGCAGCACGAGCAGCAGTGGCGGTAACGGTAGGAAGAGCTCCGGTAAGCGCGCCGTCGCCTCCGCCAAGCGCGCCTGGCGCGCGGAGGCCGTAGGTGAGCGCGATGCCGTTGGGCACGTTGCGCAGCGCATCGCGCTCGTGCGCGAGCTCTTGCACCTGATTGGTCAGCTGCACCACATGGTTGATCAGCTCCGCGCGCGTCAGCGAGTCGCCGCGACCCGCTTCGAGCGCCTGCGAGTATGCTCGCATGCGGGGGAGGGAGTGTACAGGCGGAAAGGGGGGGGGGGGAAGGGGAGAAAGAGAGAGGGAGGAAAAGCGGAGAGGTTGGGCAAGAATGGCAACGCCCGCATCAAGCCCCTCGGCGGCTTGTACTCGTTACAAGCCCCTCACAGGTTTGCGTTCGGGAAGCTAAGTAACCTACTCGTACTCGATAAATGCCACCTCGACAGCCGCGTGTACGTCATCATATGTGCCTGCACCCTACGTGTACCAGAAAAATACAATTCTTCGTCCCTCTCTACCGCAGCGCCCCTTCTAGCTCACTTGATTAATCTCGATATCTGCAAACTCTGACCTGCGTGTACGCGAATATTTGCCGTCGCATGTCCGCGGTTTCCTTTTCCCGCTCTCGAAGCATCGCTTCTAGACCCGCCACTCGCCCCGTCATCTCGCAGTTCTCCATCTCAACGGCTGCCAACTTCCGCTCTAGCGCCTCGTCCTCCAAAGACGATCTCCGCCGTCCGTTTATGCTCCCATCTTCATTGTTCTTTTCTCCCCCTTCTTCCGCTGCTTCTGGCTCGCACGGGAACGGGTAACCCTCTGTGCCATGCCCGGATATTGCGCCGTCAAGTGCGGCGGGTGGAACGGAGAAATGCGCGTCGACCCATTGGCCTACTTTCGATGCGGCGCGCGCGCGGTCCTCCGCAAGCGCGCGCTCTTCCGCAAACTGTTCCGCTGAGGGATCCGCGTGGGGTTCGAAATACGCGCGCGAGGGGTGAAAATGTTGCGGGTGGATGGCTGTAACGGGCGTGATTGCCGCGGGGGGAGGGATCCATGCGCGATACGCGTGTGGCGGGTGCGCGGCTACCCCTGCAGTAGGCGGCATGACTCCAAATTTGACGCTTTGACGCACTATGAGAATAGACTTCCGATGCTTTTGGCGGGTGAGCAAGATAGGCGAGGAAGCAGGGTGCGCAGTCCTAACTAAGAAGAGCGTCTAGACGTAAGCCAGCGCAAATGATTGCTGCAATCAATGATGGACCCACTGCGCCTCAAGCTCTCACGGTGAGCGACTAATGGATGTGAATTGTTCTTACTACATTCAGCACAGTTGATCAGTCATAAAATTTCGCCGTGTAATGGCATGTTGCCCGTGCTTTCAAAACTCATCCTTGGTCTGCAATTTGGCTAGATGAATACAGAGACATGCGAAGGGGAAGCCAAGCAAGCACAAAACAGAACCGCCCCAGAAAGAAATGTCAAGACCCAACCCGAATCGCCGATGCGCCCCATGTTCATCTGTGTGTGGGATGCTTGCGCCAAGCCGCCTTTTCTGAGGTGATGGACCAGCGCAGCTGGGTTGACATATGGAACTCTTTCCGTGTTCGACGGTGCGATTTGCGGTTGAGAGTGCACACGTCGAGGCACAAGCCCACGTTCTTTCAACAAGGCATGGTTTGGAGTCGCACGAAAACCTCCGTCACCCAAATGGAACGTGTTTCGTTATTGACTAGTTCTTCGATAAAGCGAGTTTCATATACACAAAAACAAATCGGTTTCTAAAATGGAACGGGTTACAAAACAAATACTAGAGCACTGATTATTGAAGAGGAGACATTGTGTCTTAGCATTGATACAAGAATTCTGTGCCATGAAATCAGTGGAAGGATTTTTATGCAAACCAAATAAACAGCTTTCTCTTTACAACAAAACAAGCATGTTAGTGCAGCACACAGCTTTCTGTATGGGAGCAGGGGACTAATAACCTAAGGGTGAGCAACGCTCAAGGTGGAAAAAAAACACATGTTGGCAGCATTAGGATGACAGGATAACTTGACAGCAGCATCTCCTCTTGTCACACTGCCCATGGCGTCTGTATCAAGCACTGCGGAGGAGAAATGGCACCTGTGCAGCAACTGAGCACTGAGCTAGTCAAATGCTGGGATTCACTGAGCAACTGGCATCTCCAAATGTCGAATCACCTCCTTGGGCATGTTTCGTGCCGGCACATTCTCCCTATAACCAGCTTGGACCAGGGCAGGCGTTCTGTAATCGTGAGTAGCCATGTTGATCGGGTTACCATGCAGGTCGAGCGCATGAGGGTTTCCGCCCGTCCACACCTTGACGCTCATCTTCCTCTCCGTTTCAAATAGAGACGCGAGCATTTTCTTCATAGAACGCACCGCACCAACCTTCCGCGTACCTGCTCCTCCGCCGCCGCCGCCGCCGCTTCCGCTGCTGCTGCTACGCGAGTTGATTCCCTGATTGCTCCTGCTGCTGCTAGCGACGCTCGTGATGTTCCCTTGGCATAAAGCCGCGACCTCTGCTTCTTTGCAATCCACCGCACCAACCCCAACTGCAAAGCCGCCAGCGCGAAACTGGTTACCCTGTCGCTGGGCTCTGTTCGTCGGTGCTTGTGCGCGCTCTTGCGAAAGTGACCTGGCTTTTGCCAAGCTAGCAGGAAGTGGAGAAGTAGGCCCTGTAGCGAACGTCGCCGCCTGCAGATCTGCGACTGAATGCACGCGCGACGGCACGCGACTGCTGTATCTGCTGCTACCGAAGTCGCACGCGCTAAGTGCTGCTGACGGCATTCGTCGCAGGGTCGTCGGATCCCTGTCGTCGCCGCAATCTGCGGCGAAATAGCCGGTGCTGTCGTTGCTCTGGAGCGAGATGTTGGATGCCTGTGATTGTAACCGGCGGTTACTTGTAACGGGCTGGATGAGTTGGCCGACGGATGGGAGATGTTCGTGTATCGCGAGGTGATTGAGGGCGGGGACGGAAATTGAGTGCTTCATACCGGTTCGATGATTGCCGTCGTTAACTGTAGCGGGGATGGAGTGTACCGATTGATTTGACACGTAGTACACCTGATTCGGGATAAGATCAATGCTTGAGCCATTTGAAGCGAGACTGTCGAGTGCAGGTACCGAAGCGGAGTGTTTCATCCCACCACCAAACCGCGACGTCCTTATAACGGGTACACCTGCACCCGAAGCTGGCGACATGCGGCTGAATTTCGAAACCACTGGAGAAAAAAGTCCAGGGGAATAGTCGTGGCGCGGAGTTGAGGCGTTGGAGGAGGCGGAAGCAGCAGGCGCATCGTGAAACTGCTCGGATGTTTCGTCCACCTCCGGGATGGATGATACGGAGATTAAGGCGGACGGCATGCCATGGGTGAGGCAAATCTCTTCGATAGCGACTCCCGCCTGATCGAGAAGATCGCACGACGCTTCCAACTCTGAAGAGAGGGGAAGCAGGAAAGAGGATGGGGAATCGGAGGCGAAAGGAGAGAGGAGAGGGAACAGGTGAGCGGCTCGCACGAGTCGAGATCGAAAGGAAAGAAATAAAAGTGCTACATTCGGGTCGGGACTCTAAAGCGTATGAGCATTTTCTGACCACATTCAGCGTACCTGTCCATTGGTTCTCGTGCGCGGCGACAGCGAGTGACTCCACGTACTCCGCCACGTTAGCTTCGTACGAGTAACTCATATCGCCCTCGTCGTCGTCCTCGAAGATCAGGGGATCGAATCCCCGCGCCGTCGAACATGGCTCTTCGGCGGTGTTCGCGCTCCTGGGTGCGGGGCACCAGCTGGTGTAGCGCGTCGAGTGGAACTGGTTCTCTGCCATTGTTTTTACTCGGTTGACGGAGGTTGAGGATGGTTGACAACGATTGACGGAGGTTCACGGGGGGCGACAATGCGCTGACGCGGGCTAGTTCTGAAACGAGTAGCTCCTAGCCTAACCTATGCGTCGAATATGACCGACAATGCACCGACACGTTGTTATTGCAACATGTAGACTGCGTCTGGGAGCTGATTTGTGTAAAGGCCGTGAGCACGATAGTGAACGAGGGTCCGTACTTGATTTATAGAAGAGGCCCACAAGCCACAGACGCAAGCACTCAAAAGGCGAGTCGCTCCAAGTGCAAGTGCTCAGTTGCTGCTTTGCTTCGAAAGACTCTTGACTCAACCCGAGGCCAGGGAAGGCAAGGCGAAAACAGATTCCATCTTTACACCTCACCCAATGCTCACCTCCCGCTGATCCGAGCTGGACGGACGGATGGCGGTACACTGTAGGACGACATGTGGCTGCGATTGGGTCGGGGACAGGGCACGACGGAATGTGCGGCAAGGGAGGAAGAAGCAATGAGTGATAAGTGCAGGAGAGGAGTAGAGTTCACCGAGGCGCGGTGCATTGCATTTTGCTTGGAGTTATTTCTGGCCAGGCAATGCAACCTAGGATCGATCAAGAGCGTGGGAGATGGAGAGGATGGATGGAGGGAGAGGCGGGAAGGATCAATAAATTTTGGAATGAAAAATATCGCTTTGTGAAGGAGAAGATATTCTCGCTGGAATTTCTGTGGTCCCGTCTCATTTGCTCTTGTGCGTACGAACGGTATCTAGTGGATGTGGGGGAGGAACTGGAAGACTCGGGCTAACCCTCTCTTTTTGGGCTAACCTGCATAATATATCACAGTAACAAGCAATACCGAACGTGAACCTGCAGGCATCTGGATTAGTTTGCATCTTACAGAGGAATGCAAAATCGTTAGGATGCCTTCATATTTTCGCAGGGACGGGCACGCGCAGGGATGTTCGCATCTACACTGCAGAAACATTTCAGGCATTGCCATGTCATCCTGTCCGCCTTCAGCTTGCATTACAGGCGAGGGGGGAAGCAGCAGCAGCAGCAGCAAGCAAGCAAGCAGCGACAGAAATTTATTGGTCCTGGGACTCGTCTGACGTGTCACTTGTAGTGCTCGGAACTGTACATTTCATCCACTGTCGTACTTGTTACGGCTGACGCAAGTGCCAGAACGAATTTGGACTGTGTCCAAGGGCGAAAGGGGAGAATGCTGGGGACTGTAAAACACAGCCAGGTCACTCGAGTCAGCTGTCTACTTCACGAATGACAATCTCGCGGGCTACAAGAAATCAACGGTGAATAGGTGACAGGGGCCATGCCCCAAGAAGATCGGGAATGGAGTGGTGTATAAGGTTAGTGCAAGCATTATACAAGTAGTGATCCTTATGAGCGGTATAAACGAGACTTACAATACGATTTAGATGGCATCACATCTTGTAGTGCACGGCCAGTGAATGTGACATTTTTGTAAAAACATGAACCAAGAAGAGACCATAAGGTAGGGACATCTAATGAGGTAAGCTCTGATAAGAATCTTCTGCAGCCGCCAAAAGACCAAGCACTTGCATACGATCCAGCACACACAACACAACCTAGAGCTTCTGACAGATGCAATCAAATAAACAAATGTCAACAAATAACATGAAGCCAGCATCAGGAGATACCCATTAGCTGATCTGCACCACTCATACAAGCAAGCAGCATAAAGCGAATGTGTTTCAAAAGCCCCCAGCCTGCAATCCCCAACCCAAATGGCCATGGCAATCCAGGCACGTAGATGTTGTCTGGTGATACACCTGTTGAGTTGACAGGATGCTAGTAGTGAGGGCCACAACAATAGTTGTAAGGGAAGGGGATAGGAAGAGGTCCTATAGTGTGTTGCCCACCCACACCCCCACTTGTTCTTCACTTGTCACTGGGTGAACCAAACACAGCAGACAACCTGTCAATGAAACCAGGCATGCCACTTCAGCACACCACCGCAGATCAGGACACAAACCAACTATTCACCTCAGCACACGAACCCCTTGCGCCAGCAGCCAAGGGAGAGGGCGGAGTGAAACAGACCCCGGCGGGAGAACCTAGAGAAACGGCAATCCGAAGTCAGCAGATGGCTCGTAACGTAATCCGAAGGGGTTCCCTGAATGTAATTCTCCGCGTCGGCACCCACCACTTGCCACGCCCAAACCACCCCACTGTACTCCACGTCATACCCAGTAGGAGCCGCTTCGGGATTGTTCAGATTGTACAGTGTTTGGCCGAGAATGCCATGCGTGCGTGTCGACAGCTGCTCGTCTAAAATCTCCATCGAAAAGTGGATAAACGAATCCTCCGGGCGGCGAACTCCCCCAATTTCCGGGCGCATGCGAAGGAGAATCTTCAACGTATCGCGTACAGATACAGTGTACACATCAGACTCCTCATCCCCCTCCTTCCTCCCGGCTTCGTCAAACTCAATCTCGATTTCCCCGTCAGCCGTCCCGTACTTGTTCCCCTCCGTCAGATTAAACTCCCGGCCGTCAAGCACAATCCGCTTCATGTACCCGCCGCTTCGCGCGGGACTCGCGCTCGTCTTCGCGAAAAGCGCGAGCTTATGATTAGGCGTGATAAACCCAAGCCCCTTGATCCACGAGTGCGTTTCCTTGACGCCTTTCGTGCTGGTTTCCGTGAAACCGTCCAGATACATGTTGACGTGGACGTTGTTATCCGAAAGCATGCAGTAGCTGTGGCCTGGCTGGCCGGTAAAATCGAAATGCACTCCGTCCCACCCCACGAAATGAGGATCGCCCTTCACGCCGGGAGGAGGGGGAGAGGTCACGGAGACGGTGGGAGAAGTTGTGGTGGAGGAGGAAGAAGAGGAGGAAGAGGAGGAGGAACCGGAGGGCGTGGTTGAGGGGGACTGCTGCTGAGTGGCTGAAGCAGGGGGGTTGCAGAACCCGCCAACACTGGAGTAGGGAGGGTCAGGGTAAGCAGAGGATAGAGGCAAGATAGATAACGCGTTGAGGGTAGCGGAAATGTTGTAACAGATCCCCTATACAACACACATGCAATTTGTACATTTGCACTCGGCACTATTGCAATACATGGACTAGCACAAGTGTTCCAAGTACGAAAGAAGAAGAAAAAAAAGTGGGTGGCGGGAGGGAGGGAGGTAGGGCAAGGTTCAAACATAGGACCGCATTTTTAGAAAATTTACCGTAAAATACGGAATCGTATTAAACGGTCACATACATGGAATTTTTGAAAATTCTTAACCATCAAGAGTCAATCTTGACAGCGCGTGGATTTGTCGTCAGGCGACTCAATGATTTAGCCGCGCCGCGCACTCAGAACAGTCCCGTACAGCGACATTGCAAGACTTGGCGAGCGGGAAACGAATTTGTGTTGGACGCACACTCGAGATATTTCGAGCCATGCAAGTTTCCAATTTCCGCGTTGCACGAACTCATCCATTAGCCAATCGTTGAAGCTCAACCAGATTCCCTCACATGCCTTTCTCACAATCCCGTCGACAAAGCAACACCAGTACAGCCCACGGGAGCAAATTTCTCCCTTTGAGAGCACGTCAAGAAATAGACTTCGGCTGAAGCGTAGGGTGCGGGTAGTAGGCAGAGATATATTCTATACCTTTTTAGGCCTAGAGGTGGTTAGAAGCAAGTTTGAAGTCCTACAGTTTTTTGTTGCAGAAAAAAAAATCTCTAACAACAATACGCCGTATTTTTGGAGAAATGACCGTAAAAATCCCTTACGATAACCGTGGGGGAGGGAGAAAGGGGAGATGGGGGGTTATGAGGATAGAATGTACATTATATATTAAGCGGTGGCACTTACTAGCTGAGAGGCCCGCTGATGGCCAGGCCAGCCGGCGCCTCGGAGAGCAAAAGCGTTCAAAACCGAAATCAAATAAAGAAATCGAATAAATAAAAGGGTCAGCAGCGGCACTTACTAGCTGAGAGGCCCGCTGATCGCCAGGCCAGCCGGCGCCTCGGAGAGCAGGAAGCATTGCTTCTGTCCGCCAGGTGCAGAAGAAATGGAACTGAAGGGGGAAGGTGGGAGGTGGGGAGTGGAGGGGGGGAGCAAGGGGGGGTTGGGAGGGAGGGGGGGAGGGGAAGGTGGGGGAGGGAAGAAAACTGTTTGTGAGATTGCGAAAGATTGCGATGCAGTGCGGTGGAGAACGGTACAGCGCGATGGAGCGCGCAGCAGGAACTACTATGGCGTGTAGAACTGGGAATAGTGGCACGCGGCGGTGTTGGCACAGTCAGTGCAGCAAAGCAAGGGAGTGCGGGAGATTGTGGTGCGATGCGGTGGAAAGCAGTGCCGAGAGGTGCTAAGGGTTGAAGAACAGTGCAGAGCGATGGAGTGCGTGCGGAACCTAGTCAGGGGCGTAGAACTGGAAGTAGTGGCAGGCGGCGGTGTTGACGCAGTCCGTGCAGCAAATTAAGGAAGTGCGGCGGATTGCGGTGCAATGCGGTGCAGAGCGGTACAGCGGGCAAGCGTGTTGAAACCTACTCTGGCGTGTAGAACTGGAAAGAGTGGCAGGCAGCGGTGTTGGCGCAGTCCGTGCAGCAGTCGGGGAAGGTCTTCGCCTGTCATGGGGGGAAGCAGGGGGGAAGGGCGGGGGGGCGGTGGGGCAAGGGGGGAATGCGGAGAGGGGAGGGGGAGAGACGGGAGGGGAGGGGAGGGGAGGAGAGAACAGCGGAGTCGCGGAGGGGAAGGAGATCGGTGAGTGCAGAGCAGAGGAAGGGAGAGAGAGAGCCTTAATTATAGGGGCAATTTTGACCAAAAGCGGAAATGAAACCGACCGGCAGCAAGGCGTGACGGCAACAACGAGAAGGTGGGGGCGGGAAGGGGGGGTGGGGGGGGGGGGAGGGATGTGGAGATTAACAGAGAGTGCAGAGTAGAAAACGAAATGAAACTGACGGGAGCAAGGACGTGACGGCAACAACGAGAAGATGGGGGCAGGAGGGGGGGTAGGGGGACGCGGAGGGGGGGATGGGGGGGTCGGGGGGGTTGCGGAGATGGGAGTGGGCGTGACGGCAACAACGAGAAGGTGGGGGCGGGAAGACGAGTTCAACAGAGAGAGGAAGGAGAGGGAGTGGGGAATGGGAGTGGGGAGAAAGGGTTGGGCGCGGGAACAACTGGACGGGAAGGCGAAAGGGAATGCGAAAGGGAATGCAGAAGGGAATGCGAAAGGGAAGGCGAAAGAGAATGCAAAAGGGAATGCGAAAGGGAATGCGAAAGGGAATGCAGAAGGGAATGCGAAAGGGAAGGCGAAAGAGAATGCAAAAGGGAATGCGAAAGGGAAGGGGAAAGGGAAGGCGAAAGGGAATGCGAAAGGGAATGCGAAAGGGAAGGCGAAAGGGAAGGCGAAGGGGAAGGCGAAAGGGAAGGCGAAAGGGAATGCGAAAGGGACGGCGAAAGGGATAGCGAAAGGGACGGCGAAAAGAATGGCGAAACGGTAAGCGGCTCGGCAGGCGGTTATGGAAGCGCGACTTACGTCAGTGGATGACTTGGCAAGATCTGAGCTGATTCGCGTGCCGTAGATCTGGAGGGATGGGGAACGGGAGGGAAAGACGGAGTAGGGGAGGAGGGGAGAAGAGGGGAGCAGAGTGGAGGAGAGGGGAGAGGAGGTTAGGTGAGGGGAGGTGAGACTAGGGATGTGGGTAGGCATAGGGGAGCTGGCGCTATGCTGGCGGTACACTGGCGCTGTGCTGGCGCTGTGCTGGTTCGCTTGCCGTGGGAGAGAAGAAAGAGGGAGGGTGCGGAGGAGTCGGAAGTAGGAGAGGGAGTGGAGGGAGTCGCATTCACTACCGATAGCAGCATACCCGATAAAAGCATATCCAATGACGGTTTCGACTGCAGCAGCGCGCTACCTACGTACTCGACGCTCGAGATTACAGCATATTCGCCGGTAACAGCATATTCGATAACAGCTCAGAATGAAGCTGCACCCAACGTACGAATTCGCCGTAATTCATGGTCTGGACGCATCCGCTTTCGACGTCTGAGAAACATCCGATAACAGGATACCCGATAACATATCAGAATGAAACTGCACGCAACGTACGTATTCGCTGTAGTTCATGTTCTGGACGGCGGCCGCATCATTCGACGCCTGCTGAAACGTGTCCTTGTAAAATCACAGTGACGGTTGGCACAATACCCGATACAAGCATACCCGATAGATGCACTCTTGATAACAGCTTCGAATGCAATAGTGCGATACGTACGTATTCGCCGTAGTTCATGTTCTGAACGGCATCCGCTTTCGACGCCTGCTGAAACGTGCCCTTGTAGAATCCCAGTGACGGATTCTGGCAAGCTGACGGAGTGCAGCCGTTGACCGGCAGAGACAGAAAATCAGACGTTGACGATGACGATGACGATGCGGAAGAGCCGCTAGATGCGGTGTTGCCGTTGTTCTGGGTATTCCCGTTACTGGCAGAGTTTCCGTTTCCGTTACTAGCGGTATTCCCAGCAGCCGCGGTGTTCCCGTTGTTCTGGGTGTTCCCGTTGCTGGCAGTGTTTCCGTTTCCGTTACTAGCAGTATTCCCGGAAGCCGCAGTATTTCCGTTGTTCTGGGTATTCCCGTTACTGGCAGAGGATCCGCTACCGGCAGTATTCCCCGCAGCCGCTGAATTTCCGTTGCTCTGGGTATTCCCGTTGCTTGCAGTGTTTCCGTTACTAGCGGTCCCGGCAGACGCAGTATTCGCGTTGTTCTTGGTATTCCCGTTACTAGCAGTATTCCCATTACCAGTGGTAGTGGTTCCGCTAGAGCTAGAAGACCCGGTAGAGGCGGTCCCGCTAGTAGTGGTTCCGCTGCTAGTGGTTCCGCTGCTAGTGGTCCCGCTGCTAGTGGTCCCGCTGCTAGTTGTGCCTGTATTTTTCGTATTGCCGCCACCATTTGTATTGCCGCCAGCCGCTCCGTCCGCGATAAGTAATAATGTGGAGGCGAGAAGGGTTATCCCTATCAATATCACGACGCGCGTGCGATACGCCATGGTTCCCGTTGCTTAGGACGACAACTCTAGGGTTTTCGACGAGCGCGACGCCTGCGCTGCCTGCGATGCCTGTTAGACGCGCGGATTTTAGGAACCTATCGAAGAATTCGCAGAGAGCTAGCGTCGGGATCCGATGGAGACACTACGCTTCGCCTCGTCAACGACTTCGCAAAAGACCAATCGTCGTTGTCAGCGCGAAATGCGGTGTAGGGGAAAGGAGGGACAGTTGGGGCAGAGCTACTGGAAGGGGACTTAGGGTAGGTGTGTGAGAGGCTGGTTGGGAACCTATGTGAAATTTACAACTAGGTGAACAACGGTTAGGAGAGGTGGTAGCACTTGAACAAGACTTACAGTACGGTTCGGATGATATTGGGCTGGAGTGGAAATATTGTGGCAACACACACTATACGGTACTGTCCGGTTTCTCGGACTCTGTGCTGGTACTCGACGATCTATACAGGTCCATTCCACGTTCTCGGATTTGGACCTCTCAACTGGCTGTGTACTTGTTGAGCTTCTGTTACGCTAACAGTTGAGGGCGGGATCACTTACCTTCTCTGAGTTTCAGGTGGCTGGCAGGGGCGTAATTTTGCTGCGCGACATCAGTCCGGCTGAGCTTGGATGGCACAGATTGTTAATTTCGACAGTCCAGAAGCCGGAAGAGACGAGATACCTGAGAGCGCTTGGGCGGAGGTCGTTAACACGCGACAAAAGAGACTGAGACCAAGAGATATAGCTAACCCAGATTGTCATGTCATGTGTGGCGTTCAGCTGGCTTGTAGCTGTAATGTTTCGCTAAGCACCAAAAACGTATGGCCCATGTGTCAGATCCGTCCAATTGACTCCTTCTATTCAGGTGGCAACAGAACGTTCACGCCAGGGAGCAAGGACCACCAAGGGAGCTGCGGCACTAGCAGCAAAACCAAATGACCGACTGTGTGATGGGTTTTGTGCGATATAGCTTGGTTTTATAAGGCGGTGGAAACTGAAATCCTTCCTTATGCCATTGATATTTCTGCAATTTCAAGCGGATTGCATTGAAGGGGTTGTTACGGGTGCAACGGAACGAGGTGGCGAGGATTGCACTATGTGGGTCAAAAGTACAAAGTATGAGCGAAGGCATGAGCGAATACTTATGTGCGAAAACATGCAACGGTTACGCGGTGGGTGCGAGCTAGCTAGTGCTATGCTGGCATGGAGGTTCGAGCTAGTCCCGAAGCGTAGGCCGACTCGGTCAGGCCTGTCGAATTATATGTTTACTGTTATCTAGGCTGTAGTGGGTTTAGCCTTAGGGGCAGGCCCTCATATTGGTTGTTACGAATAGTGGTTAGTGAAAACACTATTGAGCACTCCTCACCGTAGCACAGCCGAAGCGCGCACTATCGAGAGCGAAGACGAAAAGGCGGAAGAAATGCGAAGGGACAGGCGGTTACGAGGAGCATCTGGACCGTCGGGCAGACAGCATCAGGCAGCAGCAGTGGCGAGGATTCTGCACGAACAGTTCCGTAACCACCCGGAGTCGAACGGTTGGATTTCGCTGTAATAAGGGAATGTACCCCTTAGAGTACATGGCTAGCTAGGTCGTTTCGAATTCCCCTGTACTCATATTTATATTCCTTGTACTGCATGTTTTTATTTATCTCAAGCATTTACATTCACTCTGCTATTGAGGTCAAGGGCCCACCACCACTAGATTAGAAGTGTGCGAACCTTCCTGAGGTGATCCTGGTCACGATCAACTTCTGATCGCAACATGGTATGAGGGCGACTCTGGAATCCTTCGCACCGCCATCTCCGAAATCTGCGACATTCGGAAAGTGGCGTCCGGCACATGATCACGTGTAAGAATGGTCGGAGGATCTGGAGGTCAGACGAATCTGACGGCTGAAGCGCAGCCCAACCCGGCTGCGACAAACGAGGAAACGACGACGATTCCTTCCGCCGTCCTCGCACAACTGCTTCAGCGACTCACGAGCCTGGAGCAAAGGCTCCAGACATTGCGGAATGGCGATGCGGGAACTTCTTCCCAACCCACTCAACCGGCCTTAAACGGCCAGAACTCCGCCCCGCAAGGCTTCTCTCTCGACACGAACGGCTCAACCCCCGAGACTCCCTGTCCCAGCGACGAAGCAATTCTCTCTGCGCGTGTGCTTTGACGGCAGAGACTTCTATACCTGGAGCTTCGAGCTGGAGCTGCTACTGCAGAACGCGCAGATTTATCATTACTTCGACGGGAGCTACTCGGGACCTACGGAGGACACTGACGACGCAAAAACCAAGTACTACAACGAGTCCCTGATGGCGTACGGGGTTCTTATGCGAAATATGTCGCCGACGGAGCAATTGAGCATTCGCTCATACAAGACTTCTCCAGCTCCCGCCCTCAACGCCTGGCGCCACCTGAACGGTGTGTACCAACCCAAGGACTCAGTGTCGTCGAGCCGCCTGCTCCAGCAGCTACTGGAGACCAAGATGGCACCAGGAGAGAAGGCCAACAGCTATCTGAATCGCTGTCGGAGCTTACGCGATCAAATCGCGAAGTTGGGGAGTACGATTTCTGAAGAAATCTTCGTAAACATCGTACTCCAAGGGCTCGGACCCGAGTGGCGGCCCTGCAAGGCGCTGCTCCGACAGCAGGGGGTCATCTCGGAGGCCGCCCTTTGCGCCGCCCTCCTCGTCGAACAACGGGATATGGACCAGCAGCGACCAGCGCCACGACGAGAGAGAGAACGTCTCGCATTTTACGCGGACAACACGGAAGAACGACACCCGCGGCGCCTCTAGTGCAAGATCTGCAGAAATTTCGGGCACTTGGCGGATCGATGCAAGCACCGATCTCGCCCTCGCCAGACCAATCCGAGCACTTGGTCCGGCCGACAAGACGCAAGGAACGACATGCGTCCCGCCCAGGGGTATCAACCCCCACCGCGCCACCTGAATCCAACAACTCAGCAGCAGCAGCAGCCATCACAAGCTGCCCCCGTTCGCAATGTCATGGGGAACATGACCATGACGAGCGGCTCCCGTCGCCCGCGCGCGCGCTCACTGTCATCGGAGACGGCACCTGACCCAATCGAGGCGTCCCCGAACAACAATCCATTCAGCACGCGTCACGACTACAGCGACGACGACAACCAGGACTGGAACCTACCAGTCCCGCTGCTTGAGAGCCCTCCGCACGTACCTGACATGCGGCCGGCACCGATCGACTGGATCGCGCGCGAACAATTTCTCAAGGTTGACACTCCGCACATCGTCACTCCGCGACTGGCGCTGCTCGCCCGAAACGATAACAGGCGCTACAACAACTGGTATCTGGACAGCTGCTGTGGGCAGCACATGGTGGGCTCCGAGCGTTACATATCCAACGCCGTCGCCACCCCCGAAGTCACTTACGTCACAGTGGCGAACAACACGCGGCTGCGCGCAAGCGCGCAAGGCATCGTGGTGCTCAAGGCATGAGGGAGCCGAACGCACATCACACTTAACGACGTGTTGATTGTGCAGAACCTGCGCTTTAATCTACTCTCGGCGGCGCAACTCCTGGATTGCGGAGTCATTCTCAGCACCGACCCCGAGACGCGCGACATACTGCTTCACTTCACGATGCCGAACAAAACGCGCAAGCAGATCGGACGGGCGCGCGCCGAGAACCGCGTATACGTTCTCGACTTCGACATTCCCGACTGCAGCGGCGACTCGCAGGAGTTAATCGACCTCGTCCCTCTACGCTTCGAACACATCCTTCGCCGCGATTGGAAGCACCCCGATGGGCGCCCCTGGGTGCCACACCACCCACACCCGCGCGAGCTGGCGCTGCACGACCCCGATCCTGAT